CTGCCCCCCCCCCCCCCCCCCGAGCCCTCCCCCTACCCCCTTCCCCCCCAACAGGTTGGCTCTGCCCACGGTGGCGGCTGGACCGCGGCGCCGGACGTGCGCTGCCTCGCCGGCCCCGAGGGCGAGGCAGCCTTCGCAGAGCTCGAGCGAACCAACGGCGCCGTCCCACCCGCCCTCGAGGGGGCTGCGACCCGCATTTACCTCGTCGGCCAGACGGCGGACGGCGTGAACCGAAAGTACGTCGGCGCGTACCAGCGGGGCACGCAGGTGATCAACGGCCGCTTCACCTACGCGCGCGTCGGCCAGGGCGGCGACCCAATGCGCATGCTCTGGTACTGCACTGACGGTCCGACGGGCGGCCACTGGTGGGCCGGGCCGCGAAACAACCTCGGCTCCCCTGCGGGCTGGCTGGCGGTGCACGACGCGGCGCTCTTCCCCGAGAAGATCGGGGCGCCGTGGCAGGCGCCAGCTCGCCTCGACGGCGGGCTTCGCATCCCGCCAACTCGCCGGCTCGACCCCCCCCCCCCCCCCTTTTTTGCAGGCTGTGCTGCGCGATGGCGGCTGGATGCCTGCGCCGACGCTGCGCTGCCTCGCGGGCGAAGCGGGCGAGCGGGCGCACGAGGCGGAGCTGGCGCAGCAGCAGGCGCGGGGACGGGCCGGACGTGCGCTCTCTCCGCCCCTCCCTGACGCCGCGCTCTGACGCCGTGCTGCCGCCTTCCCCGCAGGCGCGCGAGGCGGAGGAGACGCAGCGACTGCTGCTCGCGGCGGCGCCGCGCGTCTACCTGGTCGGCGGCACGCCGGCCGGGATCCACCGCGAGTACCTCGGCGCCTACGACCGCGAGCCCGAGCTCGTCAACGGGCGGCTCGCCTACGCGATGGCGGGCGACGCGGACAAGATGCTCTGGTTCTCGAGCGTCAACGGCTACTGGCACGCGGGGCCGCGCGCCAACCTCGGCGGGCCGCGCGGCTGGCTCGCGGTGTACGACCGCGCGCCGCTGCCGGACCGGGTGACGGCGGAGTGGCAGGTCGGGGCGGCGGACTCGAGTTGGACCGCGGCGCCGGATGTGCGCTGCCTCGCCGCCGACCCGCGCCGCCCGACGACGCGGCAGCAAGCCCGGGACCGCGAGGGCGGCGCCGACGCGATGCTGAACGGCGCCGCAGCGATGCACGAGGGAGGAGAGGGCGGCGGGCGCGACGGCGACGGCGACGGTGGCGAGGAGCCGCGTCAGCGCCGCTTGAGGAGTCGACGGGGCGGATCGGGCGCGGGTAGGTCGTGAGAGGGTGAGCAGTGGCGGGGGGCGGGGAGGAGCACGGGATGTTTGCGGCGGCGGGGGAGGGGAGGGGCGGCTTGCGGGTGGGGCGTGCCGCGCCTCGAGGGAGGAGTCTCGAGAGCGGAGCTTTCGAATGAGTGGCGCGCGCCGGGAGCATGGGAGTGGCTGCGCCGGGGGAGTGCGAGACTCTTGGCCAGGCCGCAGGCGGGAGCGAGAGGGGCGGGTCTCGGAGGAGGGCCCTATTCTGCGCCTCTTGCGGCCGCCTGCGAGGGGAGGTTTCGGTCAGAGGGTGAGGCGCGCTACGGCGCTGCAGGGCTCGGCGGCGGGCGGCGCGAGACGAGCCATCGAGGTGGCGCCCCACACTCCGCGCACACAACTCACGGCAGGGGAGTCACAGTCACACATGTCCCCGCCGACGATACATCATTTGGATTTGCTGTGTATTCTTGTTCTTTTTATTTCGCATATGGCGATCAGACGTGCCTCTATCAGTTCACATGTTCGAGCCTTCGTTTGACGTTATGGGTCAAGCGCACACAGGCCGGCTCCCCCGGCGGAGAGACCGCACACGCGCGCACGAATTGAGAAACCAGCGTGCAGCGAGGGGGCAGGTTGCGTTCGTTTGTCACTCGCCATGCGCGTCCTTGGCTGACCCTCCAAAACTCCCTCCCCGCCGTTCGCGCGGCTCGGCTTGCGTATGCGGTTGGGAGCTTCGAGGACATGCAGGCGTCCCACCCCCTCCGGCCATCCCCCCGGCTCCCAAGCGCGCGGCCGCGACGCGCTGCGCACCCTCTATCTTCCGCGCTGCGCCCGCTCTCGGCATGGCCGTCGTCCGCCGAGATCACCTCCCCTCTTCGCGCCGCAGGTGCACAACCAAGGGCTGGCCACCTCCGTATCCATCATGGTGAAGCCAATGGGCCAAAAAGGTAGAGCGCTCCCCTCTCCCAGGTGGCCAGAGGGTACACCTCGTGTGCTCGTGTCGGCGTGCTGGGGGGGGCGCCGGTGCGCAAGCCCACTTTCCGGGCGAGCCCGAGGGGGAGGAGGCCGGGCGAGTGGCAGCAACTCACTGTTAGTGTCCCGGGCGGGCCGCTGCGGCACCGTTTATACGGTTACTGGACCGTGTTCAACGACGTTGAACATTGTTCAACGTCGTTGAACACTACTTAGGAATGGCCGTAGCTCCTCTCCACGAGCGATTGAGAGGACGTACCAAGTATCGATTCTGTATAGAATTGCAAGGCGCACACGCTGGTGCAGGCGGCGAGTCGTCGATCCGACTCGTTCCGCCGTGAAGTCGCCGTGAAGGGTCGACAAACAGGGCCATTTTGCCACATTTTGCCCTCTCGCGCGATCTTCTCGCGTCGGCAAGCGCGCGGGCCAGGATGGGCGAGCCGATCCCGCCACGCTGGACGGGCCAGCGGCTGGCACGCGCCGGCCACCCCGGCGGCGCGGCGGCCTCATCGCGCTCGTCGTCTGCGAGGCCACCGCTCGGCGTCGCCGCGTCCGACGGCGATGGCGCTTGGCTGTGAGGTGGGATGGCGGCATGGTGCGCGCGGACGTGGGGGTGGTGCGGGATGCGCGTGTCAGCAAGCATAGTTTCACCTCTACCCACCCCGCAGGCGCGCCGACGTGCTGCCCGAGCGCGTTTGGAGGCAGCAGCAGCTCCTCGCGAGGCGCCTTCGGAGGGGTGCCACACCCCTTTCCCAGCCGCGCGCGAGTTGAGCTCCGATTTGCGCTCTTTTTCGCACACGCCCGACGCTAGTAGGTGAGGATCGACCATCCTCCGCTAGCAGGGCTTCGTCGGGCGCGTCTTCGTCGAGCGGTGGTGCATCTCCCATGCTCCCACCCGCGCCCTCCTGGCAGCCCGCCCGCGGCCCACACCGACGCCCTCACGGGCTCACCCTAGTCGTAGGTGCGGTTTTTTTGCGTGCCCCCCGTCGATACGGGGCGCTGGGCGATGGCTGGGCTTGTCGCCGGGCGAGCTGGCCCCTCAGTCGGCCGCGGAGCGGAGATGCGAAATCGAGGCGGCGCGGCCCCTGCGCGCAGCCTATCCGGCCGGCGCGCGCATGGTTCCGTAGCCCGTCTAGTGCCTCACTGACCAACTCCAGCGCTACGGTGCACGTGGCCGGTGTGGTACTGGGGCTGGGCAGCCTTGGGGCCGGCGGAGACCGCCGTCTAGCGGTCGCACTAGTCGGATATCGTTGTTCAACCTGTTTGTTCAACGGTTGTTCAACCATACTTTGAGCCTTAATTATTAATTCGGGTTTGGGTCTGTGAGGTCGATACTAGCGTCTATAACTTGCCACAAGCATGCTTTACAAAAGTCCTGCGGAGCGGGACTCGCAGAACGGCCGTCCGCGCGCGCTGTGAACAGCGCCGTGGTTGAACACTGTTCAACGTCGTTGAACACGTGACGGTCCAGTAACCGTATACGGCCCCTCGTGATGTCTTTCCGATTTTGCATTGTGAGTCGTCCTCTGGCCAGCCGAGGGGCACCAGAACGGCATGTGTACTGGTGCTGGCTGCGGGTGCGGAACGTTTTTTTTTTTACTCGCAACGACGCGCTCTCTTTTCTCCCAGTAAGCTAAAAGTACGTACGTACAAGGAGAGAGAGAGAGAACCCCCTCTCTCTTTTCTCCCAGTAAGCTAAAAGTACGTACAAGGACACCCTCGGGGGGGACGCTCGGCGCATGTGCGTCACGTCAGGGTGGAGTTGGCAGTGGCCGAGCGTCGTCTCCCAATCGACTCGCAGCGCGGAGTCGAGGGGTGAAGCGCGTCGCGCTGCGACACTCGAGAGCCGGCGGGATAGCGGATAGCCGTGGGGCGCGGCCGACGTTGAAGTCCTCGAAGATCCGGTGCGCATTCGTCCTCTGAGACCCACGCGTACAAGAAAGGGGCGAGAACGCGGCCATTCTCCATTGACAATCTAACGCAACCTTGAGCTACAGCTAGCCCGTTCTCCACACAGTGCGGAGTCCGGAGAGTGCGCTGTGCGGAGTGCGTGGTGACTGGTGTTTACAATCAGGCGTCAGAGGGAACACGGAACACGCCGCCGTAGAGCCGTATTGGATACAGTACCACAGTCAGATATCAGATGTCATCTTTTCATGTCACAAACATGTCACGTCACTGCATGCGCGCCGTGTCTGCCTCTTTAAACTCGTCCGAAACCGAACTCGCCAGATCTCCGCGGCTTGCACGACTCCCCTTCGCGTGCTCGACGCGCAGCATGCCGCACGCAGAGCTCTCCTCGTTGCCGCGCGGCGTGCGGACCGTGCAGATGAGGCCGCGGTCGAGTAGGCGCCGTTGGAAGGCACGCACCGCCTCTGGCTGCGCCGGCCGGAAGAGGCGTCCCGCGGCGCCCAGCCCCGCGTTTGCGTTGTAAGGGATGAGGTTGACGCGAGTCTTGCCGGGCAGCGGCGCGAGCAACCCGTGCAGGCTGGCCGCCGCGTCGGCGCCGTCGTTGACTCCGTCGATGAGCGTCACCTCCGCCATGAGGCCTCGGTCGGCCCTCGCCTGGGGCGTCTCTCCCGCACGCGTCGAGGTGCAGCCGAGGCGTGGTGTAGCCGAGGTGTAGCCGAGAGCTAGCCTGCAACGTCTCCCCCCACGCGTCGCGCAGCTCGCTCATCCGGTGGCGCGTTGTCGGCACGAGCAGTCTGCGCAGCCGGTCGTCTGCCGCGTGCACCGACCAGGCCAGCCGCGCGGGCAGCGGCTCCAGCGCGCGGATGTGTCCCGGCGACGGTCCGACAGTTGAGACGCAGACGTACGAGCGGCCTGAGGCGGCGAGGGCGCGGCGTGTGAGGGGTACCGGCGGATGGGGGCGGGTGGAGGCGGAGAGTGGGCAGGCGCCGAGCTGGAAGCCGAAGGGGTGGACCATCGCATGCAGCGCGCGCGACACCTGGAGGTGCCGACAAAGCGGCTTCACAGCTCACCACCTCGCCTTCTCTGTCTCTCTCCAGGTGATAGAGCCTCCTCCACGTTGTCCGCCGGCTCGCCCATGCCCATGAACACCTGCACGCGACGCCGCACGGCTCTCTGGCCGCGAGAAGAGAAAGGGGCAGAGGGCTGGGAAGCTCACCACATTCCTCAGCGGCGGCATGCCGTGCTGCCGGACGGCGGCGGCGGCGGCGTGCAGCTGCGCGAGGATCTCGTCGGCGGCGAGGGAGCGGAGTAGGCCCATCGTGCCAGTGGCGCAAAAGGTGCAGCCCTGTCGACAGCCGACCTGCGAAGAGACGCACAGCGTGGAGAATGCTCCCTGCGGAATGATGACGGCCTGATAGCAGGGCCAGGCGTCAGGCGCGCGACAGCAGAAGGTGCCACTCAGTGCAGGCGCAGTCAGCGCGCCTCAACCTCGTCGCCGCGCCGCAGTCGGAGAAGCAGCTTGCGAGTGCCACATGCGGAGACGGTGGACGTGAGAAGCGAGTGAGGCGGCTGCGCCGAGAAGGCCAGCTCGAGCGCGTGCCGCGCCTTGTGGCCAAGCCCTGAAGACTCCTCGAACGGGTCCCGGCCGTCTCGCAGCTGGCTCCAGACAATCTTGGCGCGGCCAGAGCCGCCGAGAAGGTCGGCCGCGGCGGTGGGCGGGACGGCCAGCAGGGGAGGTCGACTCGACTGGCCCAGCAATCCCATGTGAGCTGCCGCTATGAAGAAGTCGATTTCCTTTGCTTGCTGAGTCTTTGTCCTTGTTTCTATTTATCGTTATGTGATTTTTTTGGAAATCGAGCAACATAAGCCGCGAATTGGCCAGGCGGGTGCGGCTAGCCTCTTTGGACAGGGTGGCCCGCCACAACGACCCCTGGAATTGTGACTCGCGCTTTCCTCCCGCTTTGTTTTTGTTTGTCTTTTTTGTGTATGACTCTGTGTCTTGATCTGCCGACAACCGAGACAGCGCAGTGAGCCAGAAAAGAATGACTCTACTGAGAGCTGTTGGTTGCCGCTCGATTCACAGCACAGTGCGTAACAAAAGGGTTGCAACCTGGTAATAAGACGGCTCGCAGTCGGTAACCTCACACAAAAACACAACCCCGGACCCAAGACGCACAAGCAAGCACAAGAAAGGAGACACCGTACTCGAGTAAGCTCACATAAACGCACAACCCCTGACCCAAGTGCCAAGACGCACAAGCTCAGACAGTCGAGAAAGGGATAGACAGCAACGACAGTCAGAAGTCAGCGATGGGTCCCAGGGCGAATGCGGCATCACCCTAGAGGCATCACCCTAGAGGCCGTCGCACTTGAACCGCTTCTCGCCCGTGTGCGTGCGCCTGGAGAACAGGGAGGGGGGAGTCGGGCTGCCGCGGGAGAGAAGGCCGCGGGGTGATCCCGGCACGCCGATCACTCACTTGTGAGTAATGAGGTTGTTGGAGCGCGTAAAGGCGGCGCCGCACTGGTCGCACTTAAACGGCTTCTCGCCGGTGTGCGTGCGCCTGGCGAGGAGGGGGAGGGAGAGTCGGGCTGCCGCGGAGACAGAAGGCGGCGGGGTGGGAGTGCGGATCACTCACAACACGTACATGTACATGTACATGCAAAGCGGGCAGAGGGCTTTGTTTGTTTTCCGGCAAACAAAAAGGAAATAAACAGAGGGTCCCCAGCACTTTGCGTCGTCTGAACCACAGCGTCCATAGTTTCTCTTCTTATCCGTTACCATGTAGAGCAAGGTCGAGGGCGGGCCCTTTCGGGCTCGGGCCGCCCTCTCGCCCGCCCCTCTGCGGGGCTTGCACGAGCGAAACCGCCGCAGTCTCCGAGATCAGAAGGCGAGCCAGAGCTCCAGCAGACAGCACCTCGCGCCCGAGCGCCGAGGCCCTCCTCCTCCTGGCGTGGGTCGGTTGTGCATCCCTCCGGGGGCCCCTCTGCGCCGGGGAGGCGTTGTTGGAGGCTAGGACGCAAGCGTCCGTCGCCCTTTTCAAACTCGGGGCCCACTCCGCTACGCTCCGACCCGAATTTTGAGGGCCTGAAAAGTTTAAGGTGTTGCTGCGCAAAAGGGTGGGGAGCCGCGGCGGCGCCGCAGGCGCGGGCGCGCAGTGGAAGCACGCTAGCCATACATGTTCACGCAGAGAAGCTGACGGTCGGGGTCGTGACGGCTCGAGGGTGCGCACACTAGCGGCCGGACGCCTCACCCGCGGACGCCTCACCCGCACGCGCACCCTCCAACATCGCCGCCGAGCCCAACGCCCTGCCGTCAATCTCGACGAGCGCCGCACACCTGCGCGGACAGTGGGCAGACGTTGCCGCCTTGTGTCCTCGTGTGCCCGGAAAGCCTCGAGCCGGCGCGCACCGGTGGCAGCGCAGGATGAGGCGGCAGCAGTGGAGGGTTGGGGCGCATTTGAAGGCGCTGGCCCCGACGCGCCATTAACTGGGTCGGGGTGGTTCCTCACCCCTCTGGTTTCAGTCAAGCGGGAAGAGTCTGTGCAAGGGGGGCGGATGGGGCTGGCTGCGTCACCTTGGAGCATGAAAGGTTCCTACAGTAAGGCTACTCGAGTACGCAGCACCTTGGCTTGGCCCCCGAGCGGGAGGCGGTCGACGACGCGCAGCATGGCGGTGAGCGCAGCCTGACGACGCGTCTTGATGGACGGATCCTTCTGCCGGCTGACCAATTCCGCCCACCTCTTGACCGGCGGCTTCGTCACCAACATGCGCTCGAGAGGCGGAGCAGCCTCGATGCGATCCAGTTCGGTAGCTATCTTGTCGCGCAGCGCATCGTCAAAAGGCAGGTGTTACAGGCGTACAGGTTACGGCCGTCCACGGCGGACATCATGGTTTCTGCCGGTATTCGGATTTTGCGATTTGTTCGTGTGGGGGTATATTGCAGATTTGTCAATGGTACCGCGTCTGCGACGCGGGCGCCTTGCGGGCAGAGCCCTTAGCCACCCTTTATATCTTGCGCGGTCAGTACTACGCATCCGCTCCTCACAGTCGCACGCGCCGCGGCGCGGCGCGTGCGACTGTCTTTGTTTGAAGTTAAAAGTCGAATCAGAGCGGCGTCGGCGCTGCCCTCCGTTTTCCTCCCCTGGCCCCCCGTCCGGCACCGCTCCGGGACGCACGCCGGCGAAGCACCATCAATCTGCTGTACGGCCCCGGCATCTCCTTCCCAGGCTTAGCTAGACTGAGAGATATTGTGCATATGGTCAGTCTCTTCAATATATACACTGACACTGAACCTCCCAGAGCTCGTCCCGGTCCGTCACGGCCATCCTCGGCCTCCGGAGGGCCCCCGGCCGCGGCGCGGTGCGGCGGCGTCACAAATCCGACGGCAGAGCACCGGGACGCGGTCGGGCGATCTGAGGCCCAACTAGGCGTGTGCATTGCCCATCCAGGGCTATCGCCTGGACCCATCAACAGGCGCCTGCGGAGTTGTGATCACGAGGTGTTGTTTGTTCCACACCTGCCCAACCATTGTGCAGCACAGTAATCGCGCGGAACTGCGAAAGGATACCACCGGACATATGTCAAGACTTCAAGTTAGGAGTAAAGGGCACGCCTCTCTCCTCCTCAAAAATAGCAGTCCACCTTCGGGCAAATGTAACATGTTCGTTCGGTAGAGGTATTAGTATTGCTACTCGAGTAAACATCTCTCTCTCTCTCTAAGTATGTATGTAACTATAGTGAGAGGATCTAGGTTTGGGGCAGAGCGAGGGAGACTTTTCGGCGGTCGTGGAGTAAGAGCTACATACTTCAACCTCATTCATACACTGAAAATGTTGAGTGAGGAGCGACCCCGCAACACCAGCCTCGCTGTGGGCCAGAAGATCGGAGAGAGAGAGATTTTGTTTTTTGAAGATCGGCGGCCCGCGAGGCACGCCGGCGTGCGCGTGGAACGCACGCGTGTGAGAGAGTCTGTGAGACGAACGAACGATCGCAAGAGCTCTAAGTAAATGAGCAGAGGGGTGAGGGGGAGGACGCGTGGTGGCGCTGGCCTGGAGTTCTGAAGCTCACCCATTAAGGAAGTGAGGTACTGCTCCGCCCACCCTGATCCTGCTGAACAAGCTCCTCTTGTAGCTCGATCGCTCACACCGCCACCACCGCCGACGTCTCCCAGTGAGACGATGCTCGATGGAGAGGGGGGGCGACACTGCTTCAGCAGCGTGCACCTCGATCCTGTACCGTGTTTGTTATGACCCCCCCAATGAACACACCAGTGAGAGAGGGCGAGACGATCGAGGGGCCCGTACCATGCGGAATCGACCCTATCCAGTGCTCAAGTGCTCAAGTAATGAGCAGGCCGCTGCTTGCTAGCAGCCAGGCAGGCAGCTCGCTAGCCAGCCAGCTAGCTAGTTAGTAAAGCCGTCCCGACCGACGACCATACTCCCCCATCCATGCCGGTCCAACGATGGTTTCTTAGGTTGTTTCGTCAATCTCACTTTACGCTTTACCGCGCCAATCTGCAATCAATCGTTCGAATCGTCCCAAACGCAAACCCAAATTCCCCGGCGGCGTAGACTCTGCGCAGATGATGAAGAGGGGAGTGCGCGGCAAGGCAAGGTCATCCGCTAAAGACACCAAAGCTGTCTCAACTGAAACGGACGTGCAGGATGCGCCAGTCAGCCGGGAGCGATTGCGCACCATCTTTGACAAGTTTGACGTGGATGGGACCGGCAGCCTCGCGATCGACGATTTGGTGTCCCTCTACAGGCCTTTCGCGGAAACGACGGTGCTTCGCGCGTCGCTGGAGGCGGCTGATACCGAGACCGATGGCTCGTTATCATTTGAGCAGTTCTCCTCGGCCTATGATCAGTTCTGGAGAAAGCGCAAGGCAAAAGCGCCAAAAACTACTCCACTGGAGGCAGGGCTACCAGAGGGTATGCAGAGTCGCGCGGTGGAGTCGACGGTGGAGGAGGCGCGTGCGCGCGCGGAGGAGGCCGAAGCCAGCGCAGAGGAGGCCAAACAGCACCTCGAGACGTTGGACATGGAGCACAACGCGCTGACCCTGCGCATCTCCGCGCTGGAGGCAAGGGTGCGAAGACTCCTCCAGCCAGGCCCAATCCACCCTCCCGAGAGCACCGACGCATTCCCACCCGGAGGTGAGTGGGCCCTCCCGACCGTTCTGCCTTGCGCGTTTGCCAGGTGCGTGACATCGAGGAGCGCCGCATCAGTGAGGAGGCGGCGAAGGCGATCAAGGATGAGGTGGTTAGGCGAAAGCAGGAGGTAAAACGGCTGACGCGTGCGCAGGGTGCCAAGGGGGACTACGTGCTCGTCAACGACCCGCCGGGGTCTGCGCCCGTCAAGGCCACCAGTTTCTCAGGCGGCGACGCCGAGGCGGCTGCGCGGCGCGCTGCCAAGCAGCTACCGTACAAACAGCGCTGGATCCTTTATCGTGACAATGGTGACAGCTTCAAAGAAGTAGTGCGAGGAGGAATCGGCGGCGTCATGGGAGCGAACAAAAACATTGAGAAGCACGTGAAAGAAGTGGTTCTCCCGCAGAAGAAGGCAAAGTTGCAGAACCAGCTGGAGAGAGCGCTGAATGAAGGGGCGAAAGTCTGAGCTCTGGTGCTGTGCGTGCCGTCTGGCCGAAGGCTCCCTCCAGCCATATCTCGTGGTGTGTGCACTGCACAGTGTGGTTTCTTTATCTACATCGATGTAGGTCACGAGGCCCCGCCGTGCAGGGCGCTACGGGCTCCGGCCGGACGTGGCAGCGGCGGAGCGTCGCGACTCCGCCCTTTTCCTTTTTCGCCCAACACGCTATCCACCGTCACCGACCCTGCCGCCAGCGCCGCGGCTTCGCGCCGCGCGCACTCACGCTAGGGCGCTCGCTCACCGCATCTCGGTTTGCGCATTGAGCTCTGAGGCCCCCATCACGCCGGGGATCCACGCCACGGCCGGCGAGGCGTCCCGGCCGGAGACCAAGGATTGAGGCACCTGCGTCGTGGAGGACGATCGACTCGGCAAGACCCTCGCCATCACCAGCCTCTACCCGGAAAACCGCATCCGCAATTTCCGCTCATCGCTTTGCGCATTCCGCAGATCCCTCAGGGAGACGCGTTCCTCCCTCAGCCATCGGCGGCGACCTCTTCGCTCTAGGCTTAGCTCGCCGTTTCCGTGGGCCGGCGAAAGAGTGCCCATCTCTCCTGTAGGTGGCGAGCTAAGCGCGGCTGACTCTGTGCCAGTCGAGACGCCGACTCCGGCAGCGGTGCTACGCATGAGTGCGAAGCAAGGCAAGCTCAAGGCGGCGATGCATGGTTTGGCTGAGGAGATGCGCAGCGCCTCCAACGCGGTTGTGAACGCCGTCGAGAGGAGGACCGCAATTGATCTCGATCGCGACGGTGACGTGGGCGTTGCTGGATCGTCAAGAAAGAGTGAACCCGCCGGCCAGTGGATGGAGAAGGCGACTGGAACGCCCGCTTTCTACGCACCCGAGATGTGCGTCAAGGGCGGTGCGCCTGGCCCGCTGGGCTTCACACAAAAACACAACCCCGGACCTTCACCCACCCTCCGGAAACAGACCCTCTTAACACCTGTACTGCTCGCGCCAGGCTACCTTGGCAAGCCCGCCGATATTTGGGCGGCGGGCGTCACCCTCTGCCAGCTCACTGGGAGCAATCCCTTTGCTGCCCCCGACCTGCCCGAAACATTCCGACGCATCCAGACAGAGGAGCCAACCCTGCCTGGCCACGCCTCGCCTGAGCTCCTCGCCCTTCTGAGGCGCGAGCCGCTGGCCGCTGCTGCCACCGCTGCGCCCGAATCTGCGGCTGCCGAAGCTTAACGTGCCCTTCCGCTTTTAGGAGCATGCTCTGCAAGCGGGTTGAAGCGCGAGCAACGATGAACGATTTGCGTTCCGACCCGTGGGTGACCGATGGGGGTCGATTCCCGTTGCCGCCTGCTTCGGAGGGAACTATCGAGGTTGACGAGGACGAGGTGGCGCAGGCAGTCACCCTGCTGCAAATCGGGTCGGTTGCGCTCGTAGTGCAGTCGGTGGCGAAGTTCAAGCGGCTGCTTCAGACCGAGGATGCTACACCGGCCGGCCCAATGGCTGGAAAGTCGCCCTCGAATCGATCGATCCCCGCAAACACGGTCTCCCTTTGTCTTGGTGAGAGCACGGTCTCCCTTTGTCATTGGTGAGAGCACTGCTCTTGACGGGGGGAAGCCGTCAATCAGCGTACGTACATTATTCTTGTACCCTGCATAACCCATGCTATCTTTGGTAGCGCGGGTGTCGTCGAGCGCACACTTCTGCAAAATAAGCAGCCCCCGCGCGGGCCTCCAGCGCCCACACTTGATCACAGGTCACAGCAGCCGCTCCCCGCTCATTGACGGGGCCGTCCCACGCTCAACGGGATCCATCGCGGCGCGCGACTGCGCGCGCATTGACAGAGCCGCATCCCGCATCCGACGCGATTCATCCTCCAAAGCGTTGAGCTGCGACGCCTATAGGACGCCTCATGGACGCGTCACGGGACGGGATGTGCCGGTGTGGCCTTCCCGTCGCACTAAGTGCGGCACCCTCGCGAGTGGGGCACCGAGCTTGATCGCGAGGTAGCGCATCAGCGGATGCTCGACGTTCTCCAGGTAGATCCGCAGCACGGCAGTGATGGGCACGGCAAGCACCATGCCGGTGATGCCCCAGACGGAACCCCATAGCAAGATGGCGAGCATGACGCCCACCGGGTCGAGGTTCGTCGTGTTTGCGAACACCTTGGTCTCGATCACATCCTTGTTGAGGAACGCGAGCACCATGGGCAGGACAAAGGCAAGCGTAACCTCCATGGTGGAGAATTCCGGGTCGAGTCCGACGAAGGGCATCGGAAGCAGCACGCCGAGGGGTGCGCCGATTGCAGGGATAAAATTCAACCAGAAAGTGAGCATGCCTGAAATGGCCCGGAGGGGAATCAGTAGAGCGCTGACGAGGCGGGACATGGCGGGGTGCGTGTGCCAAAGACGAGCGAGAGGGATGTCTCGAGCCCGATCCAGCAAAGGATGACGGCGTGGAGCACGCCCACCAGAATCGAGAGCGCCACCTTGCCGCCGATGTACGCGTAGATCTGCTTGCCGGCCTACGGGCATGCGCGGTGGAGGTGGGTATAGTTGTGAAGTCTTTTGCAGGGCCCCTCTCGGCCCGCCTGCGAGTCGACTCGGTGGATGGGGCCCTCATCCTTCGACTCCACCTTGAGGGGGGAGCACGATCAAGGGTGACCAGCCCGGTTGGCCCCGGTCGGCAGGCAGCACCGATGGTGTGCTGTTTGCGTGTGCGTTATGGGGGTGTCATTGACCAGCATGAAGATGAGGAAGAGCACAACGTAGAGCGAATTCTCCAGCACGCCCGAGGCGGAGCCAAGAAAATTGACGATCAGGTCGGACACGTCGAGCTGTTTCGCCATTTCCTTTTCCAGGTCTGCAAAGTGGCTCATCTTTTCCTGCGGAGGCGTGATGGACGAATCATGGGCATTCTTGACGTTGAAGCTGACTTTGGGGCCTCGTACCTCGGCTGAGGCTGCAGTGGTCGCGTTCAGCATGCCTAGCGATATCTGCGCCGCAGTGATTGCATCGAACAAGTTCTCGATCAACTCCTACGGGCTCGCTTTCGACGTGTCACGAAACGCCTCCCGCTGGGAGGCGGGATCACTGATCACATCGTCTGTCGGGCCGCTCGCCTCGATGCGCGCATTGTAGACGCCAGCCTTGCTCGCAAAGGCAGAGAGCGAGTTGGCGACAATGAGCGAAAGCATTGTCATCGCGACGACGACGGTCACAAGCGCGAAAAACACCGCCCATTGCCGCGGCAGCCGGAAGCAGCGGCGCTGATGTCGCTGACACAGCGGGTGCTGGCAGGAGAGAAAGTCGATGAGTGGAGTCAAAAGGTACCTTAAGGCGAGGGTCGGGGTGAGATGAGGTGACTGTGAGGATGAAGGGTCTGAGGGTGAGAGGCTGCTCGAGGCAAGATCGGGATGGCGTATTCGTCACGGTGGTGTGTATGGCTGTGCATATGCTGAACTGGTCACTTGAGAGCGACGGCCAGGAAGAAGAGGACGAGAACGTGGCTGAGGGAGTACAGCGCAAAGTAGACCACGGCGATGGCGCAGACGGTCTGGCAGAGGGTGCGGATCCGCTCATCGATGGTCTGCTCGACCACTGAGAGCGGTGCGCGAGGAAGCAAGGCAGGCGGCTGGCTGGGTGCCCAGGACTTGTGCGCGTATTGGACCTGCGGATGGAGGCTCAAGGATGAAAGCTTCGGTTTGCCCAACTGCGCGGTGTTGTGGCTGTGTCACGTCACCTCTGCATCCAGCCTCTCCAGCTTCATACGCAGCGAGCTTATCTCCGTCGCCTGGGAAAGACGAGGCGTTGCATACCGTGGGTGGCATGAAGGGCAAGAATCAGGTACTAGGCAGGCGCTGTTGAGGGAGAGATGAGGCACGAGAGCGATACTGTGGCGCTCACCTGCTCAATGATCCTCTGCTCCAGCACGCGCTCCTTGGCCTTGGCCCACCAGTTGGTGCTGATCTCGCCTGACTCTGGATCCGCCATACTCATCGTACTCATCGTATGTCGCTGCACCCTGCCCGCGGCGCCGCGAGGGGGACTGTCGCAGAGTGGCCCGCGCTCGATGTTACTTTATTAGGGGTCGGTATTAGTGATTACGCTTCGTCAGCAAAACTCTGGTTTAGTCGGTGTGTATGTGTATCCTGGATCACTACTTCACTTTCTCTCAGGGTATCATCACTTCGCGTCCTCCCAGCGTCCTCTTCCTTCCCTCCCGCCCGCCACGCCCACCAGCGCATGTCTTAATGGTGGGCTTGCGATCTCCTGCGCGACGCGCGTTGTATGGGTGTCTGAGCACGCGCGCAGCGCGCGAAGAGTCCACGATATTTTAGTGCACGTGGATGCTCTTCACAGCCTTGTTATTGAGAAGAAAATACCTCCTATGGCGCTGTTCACACATGCCGACATCGCCTCCGTAGAGAACAGGCTCGGACACTGGAGTAGGTATCGGGGCTCACACGCGCCAGTAGCGTTCGTGCCTATGAACCGAAATGGCACAGCGCAAGTCTCCTTCGTCCGGATCGGTGCTCCCACGCACTCGTTCAGCGTCTCTCCACTGCGGTCGCCAAGCCAGTCAAGCCACAGGAAGTCCGACATTGCATTGGCGGAGGAGGGGCTGCACCCGACCAAGCTGCGACAGACGGCCCCACTGCGAGTGATTGCATTCACGCAGCTGCGCCGCCTCGGCCATCTCCCTCGCTCCTCCGAATGCAGCGCCACCATCCCTGGCAAGGGACGATGCGGGGCCAACCACGCCCACCTAACCATTGAGGTGGAGAGGGACTGGCCGCTTGCGGCCAAGCCCATTGTGATGGTCTCTCACGTGTGGACGGATGGCTCCGCGGGCAGGCCGGACAACAGCGCCAATCGCAAGTTCGCCATCGTCTGCGACGGAATCTCAACCCTGTGCCGCAAGCACCATCTCAATGAGGGGGCGGTGCACGTCTTCATCGACTGGTTCTCGGTCGACCAGGAGGTGGAGGGGACGGCAATGTTTCGCGAGTATATGGCCTCATTGCCCGCCTTTGTCGCGCAGATGTCGTACGTCCTCGTGCCACTCGACTCGCGCCTCCTTCTCGACGATAAGTTCAGGCTCGATGAGGACGGTAACCCTACACCGATGAACTGGGCGATGTACAACGTGCGAGGCTGGTGCCGCGTCGAAATGCTCATCGGACGCGCGCTCGCCGCACTCGGCTCGGGGGTGCGTGTCTACCGCTTCGACGCCACCTGGCCGGTGGGTCGCCTTATCGAGGTGCCGCCCTACTCGCACGGAGCGCCGCACTCGGAAAGCCGCGCAGAGTCGACCGTAGGACGTGTCACGTGCGATGGACTTCGACTGTAGGCTCCGATGCGATCATGCCCACCGCGCCCGACGCCTTTTACACGTGCTGTCAGAGGGACCACTGGAAGGACGGGCCGATCGCGTGCGACCTCGACGCTGTGCGCCCCGTCGAGCGGATGATGAAGCAGCTTGTCATGTCGGACCGTCGGTTTCGGCACCAGCGCCTCTTTGACGCGCTGCCGCCGCCGCCGAGCTGGCGTGGGCTGCCGGCGGTGCCGCTCGCGTCCTTCCTCGCCTTTGGCCGGCTGCCGACGTTCACCGACCTGCTCACGCGCTTCTACTCGGACACAGAGTTGCGCGAGAAGAGCGTCTTTTACATATCGCACCGCAACTGGAACCTTCACGCGTGGTTCGAGGAGCACCTGGAGGGGCGCACCTCCATGGTGGACGCCCCGCCGCTGCGGAGGAACCAGAGCGTCGCGCAACTATTCGAGACGCCGCTCCTTATGCTCAAGTACCGCTGGATCTGCACCGTGCTCCTGCGGCTCGTCGATACGGAGCGTCTCAAGCCCGAGGCTGCGCCTTCCCCGCACCCCGACCGGCCAGGCCGCGCGCCACCACTCTCTTCACACGGCGGACTGTGAGCAGGCTTGCCTCCTGTACATGGACTGGTTTGCGCTGCCAGACCCGCTCACGTGGAAGCAGTGGGTGCACTCTCCCGTCGAAGCCGCCGCGCTCAGGCGCGAGGCGGAGCTCATCGTCGCCAAGCTAGTGCGCTCGACCTATGTGGTCGTATTCAGCACCGATGCGAACGGCACCTCTGAGGGCGGCTGGCGGCGCGGCTGGATCCGCTTCGAGCGCTTCGTGCCTAGCGTGCTCGCCAGCGGCGGCGTCTACACAGCGCTGTACGAGACGACTCTCTCCAACCTCTACTCCCTCGCCGACATGCAGCTGCAACCGCTGCAAATGCAGCCCCTTGACATATGCTGCACGCGCGACCGCTACGTGACGAGCGCGGCCCTGGAGGCGGCGCTTGAGGCGGCGCACGCGGCCGTCGAGGCGGACGACCTCTGCCCCTGGACGGGCGAGTTCGAGGTCGACTTTGAGCGGAGGGTGGTGTCCGAGGCGTGCCGGCTGCTGCTGCACGGCGTCGCGAACCTGCCGCCCGTGGCGGACCTGAACCACGAGCTGGTGGAGCACGCCTGGCCGCCGTCAGAGGAGCCCGAGCCGCGGTGCCAGGCGTGCGCCCCCTTGGAGTGCGCCCCCTTCCCGCCGCTGAGCGAGTCCTTTGTGTGCAGCAGCAGCGACTTGTGACGCTGGGAGCGAGGTGGAGTGAGTGCATGCATGTGAAATTCTTTCGGTGTCGAGCCTGCGGGCTGCTTTGTTAATAGTTAGAGGCTGCGCAGGCCTCCCCCGGTATTTTATTGGTCGATACGAGTAGAGCCGCATTATATGAAAACCCCAGAACGGGTCGGACACCGTCCCACCGTCGCCTCGCTACAGACGTCACGCCCCCGCGCGCGGGGTGGCGCGAGAGCGGAGAGGAGGCAGGAGCTGCTGCCGGGGCGCGTCCCGCGCGTGTGTCTGGGCGGCGAGGGGACCAGGGGTGCCCCCCCCCCCCCCCCCGCGCGCTGAGCGCTGTCAGCGGTGGGCCACCTCTCGGCTCACGCCGCTGACCCAAGCACCCAACTGCATGCGTGGCGGCGCCGGCGGCGCAGTCAGAGTACAGAGAAGGCGAGAGTGTGCACAGGCTGTGCGCACCGCGGCCGGGACGGTGCGGAGAGGCTCGCCAAGGCCCAAGCACCGCTCAGCGGCGAGGGGGAGGGCGGTGGCGGCGGCGGCGAGGCGCGAGGCGGTGGCAGCGGTGGTGCGGACGGCGGGATTGACAGGGGAGGCGGCGGCCACGAGGGAGCGGCGGCGAGAGGGGGGCAGCGGCGAGGCGCGCCGGCGAGCGACAGCGAGGCGCCCGCGCCATCAGAGGGACGCCGCCGCGAGATGGAGGGCGGCGGTGACGGAGGCGAGGGTCGAGGCGGCGGCGGCGGCGGCGGCGGCGAGAACGGCGGCACCGAGTTTGTCTCGGTGAGCGGACCGGCGGCGGGAGGAGGAGCAGCGGCGGCGCTCTCGCTGTTGAGCGTGCTGTTTTGAGCCTGGGATCCCATGTCACTGCGACCGGCGTGCCCGGGAACGGAGATCGCGCGCGCGCCGCATTCACGACGCGCGCGCGATCTTCGCGGAGTCGGGTCCCCAGAGGGCAGCGGTCTTTTTGGCCGACGTCCAGCGGCGCGCAAGGAAGCAGGCGCAGCGCCGGCGGTGTCGCGCTGCATGGGCCAGCAGGGTGCAGTGGCGAGGGGCGGCGGGCTCGGACGTCCACCGAGTCGCTCCGCGCGCCAGGCGGAGCGCGCGCGCGGGCCAGGAAGCTCTCAGCAGGCTGAAGAGGACATCTGCGCTTATTGCGGGGCGGGACTCCACTTTGTATTCGGCACACGCCTCCCTACCGGTATAAATACCGGGGGAGGTATTCTTTTAATCATCTGAACGCTCACGAGAGAGATTACATGTACATGTACATGTTGCACATCTCGTGTGCGCTGGCGCTGGCGCCATTTTACCCGCCATCGACTCTCAGCCCGTCGCCGCACCCGCTGCGCCACGCAGCTCCAGCGCTCGCTAATTGGTGGTCCAAGGATCCTGATCCAAATTGGACGCGACAGTGGGAACGGGCTAAGGAGGACGCTGCCCTGCGAACGCCAGAGGAGAAGGCTGCAGTCATGGAGAACGCACAGAAAGTGGAGGCGGCAGTGACATCCACCGTTGATACCCTCTTTGCGGTGGGCGCGTTGTTCAAGGAGGCGCAGGAGGAGAGGGCGATCGAGGAGAGGCGGCGTGCCGGGCAACGGGCAAAGGCGGCGGCGGCGTTGAAGGAGGAGAGGGCAAAGGCGGCGGCCGCGCGCGCAGCGGAGGCGGAGGCGGAGGCGGAGGCGGCCGAGCAGAAGCGGTTGGCGGAGGAGCGAGCCGCGGCCGCCGCCAAAGCGGCGCTGGCAGCGGCAGAGGCTGAGGAAGAGGCAGAGAGGGCGGCGGCAGCAGCGATGGCCGTCAAGGCTGATACCGAAGCAGCCGCGGCCGAAGCAGCGGCGGCAAAGGCGGAGCTGGAGGCAGCAGCACGGTGGGAGGCCGAGGCGGCCGCAGCGGTTGAGGCGGCAGCGACGGCAGCGGCCGAGGTGGCCGAGGCGGCCGAGGCGGCCGAGGCGGCCAAGGCGGCCGAGGCGGCCGAGGCAGCCAAGGCGGCCGAGGCGGCCGAGGCGGCCGAGGTAGGGGCGGAGAGGGCGGCAAAGGCGGAGGAGGCGCAGCTGGCAGCCAGGGCCAAGGTGGAGAAGGAGAGGGGCGTGGCCAAGGCACGGGCGGTCAAGCCGGAGAAGGCAGTCTCTCCGCCAGCCGCCCCTCCGCCGCCGGCAAGTGGCAAAGTGCCGGCGCCGCAGGCGGACGTGCGCGAGAATGCGCAGCAGATCGAGGCGGCGGTGACGGGGGCGGTGGACGTCATCTGGGCGGTTGGGGCGCTGTTCAAGGAGAAGCAGGAGGAGAGGGCGGCGGAGGAGAAGCGGCGTGCCGAGGAGCGGGCAGTAGCGAGGGCAAAGGCGGCGGAGGAGAGGGCAAAGGAGGCGGAGGAGGAGGCGGCGGCGGAGGCAGCGGCCGCAGCGGTACGCGAGGC